TGTAGCAATAAGAATTTGAATGGGATTAAAAAAAAAAAAAAAAAGATATATTTTTATGACAAATATATATTTGGGTGGGTTGAAAATTGTTTTATAATAATAATCATAATAATATATTATAGTAAAGAGAATTTGGGTGGGGGGAAATATGAAATAAATAAAATAAATTTGGGTTGTTTAAAAACTGCGTATATATTATATATATATATATATATATATATATACACATACATACATATATGTTGTTTATATACTATAACATCTTATATAGATGTTATATATTTTTTAAAGATTTAAATGTAGTACTTGTAGTGCTTTGAATTGATTGAAGAAATAATGTAAATAACTGTGATAGAAAATTTTGATTTGGAAAAAGTAAGAATTTCCAGATTTTCTTTTTAAACTCCCATTTTATTTTTATTTTGGGATGAACTGTGACTCGGACATGTTTTATAATGCGTTTTCCAGAAATATCCCAGCAGCTTGACTTTAGCAAATCGATGTTAAACATTAAAATATTATTTCATAATATTTTAATAATAAATGTTAGCTTTATAAATAAAATTTTCACTGTGTTTGCAAACCAAAATATTAGCGAAATGTTTTAAAAACACACTTTCGATGCTGAAAATCATGACCTTTATTAGATATTTAAATAGATTACCTTCATTACTGCCTTTTTTGTTTTTTTGTAAGAAATGTTTTTTATTCTCAGGTTTCAGGGGGGCGGGGCCTTCAGAGGGAGTGGGCGGGGCTTGTGACATCACTCCGTCGACATCATCACACGCCGACTCGTTAGCATCGTCATGCGTGCGAGTGTTACGCGACTGAAGCGGCTCGTCTCTTCTCTTCACGACATCGTCTGCACACCTGATGTTATTTCCGTTGTGATTCTGGTCAGTGTTGGCAGTGGTGAGGCAGCTGGGTGACGTGTCGGCTGGCTCCTGAGTGTTTGGTGCTGGACTGAAGGCTGTAGGCTGGATGTCAGGGGACCGAAGCTCCTTCAGGCTCTCCGCTGAGGTCTCTTCAGCACTGGGACTGGTGCCGCAGCCTTCGGCCGGATCTCCTGGAGTAGAAACCGGGGCTGATCCAGCTTCTTCTCCGGCAGACCTGACACTTGCTGCTTTGGGACGAGAAGAGACGGGTTTGTTCAGGAACAGAAGCGCGTGTCGGATGGAGATGAAGCATGAAGCAAAGCCAGCGCTCTTTTGAGAGTCGGTTTAACTTACAAGATACAGACGAGTGCTCTGCAGAATGATAAACTCTGCGTGTGTTGCTTTAGTTCACATGCAGCATACAGCTCGTGTTTGGGTCGTTGACATCGATGTCCTGCCGTGTGACATACTCTAATTTCTTCCCAATATTTTCCTAATTTTTCTTTAATTATTCTGCATGTTATTACTATAAATTAAGCAGTACTTCCAAAAATGAGTCGCTCTGCAGAACCATCTGACATACACTAGTGAAGCTAAATAGATAGAGCTGCACGAGTAAAAAAAAATGTATTTATAAAATAAATAAATTAAAATAAATATTATAAAATAAGAATATTTTATGGTACAGTTTATTGTAACTTATTTATTGTACACAGTACTGAAAATTTTAAATACAAATATTTATGGCTTAATTTTCTAAATGTCTTAAATTTTCAAACGTTAACTTTTATTTTGATTGAAAACGGCAGGGTTTTAAAGCACTAAGCCCTATTGCGATTAATTGTGCCGCCCTACATAAAGCTGAATAAAATGCTGGATAACCTAAAAGAAATTGTCACCATTTACAGGAAAATTCAGAAATATTGATGTTGAAAAAATAATAATAATAATCATGTCAACTACCCATTTTACAGTTCACAGCTTGTGTTTACAGTTCACACTGACATGCAGCTTTGCCAACAATGAAGCGTTTAATATCACTGGCACGTGATTGACAGCTCAGACTGGTGCGAACAGCCAATCAGAAGCTGCAGAGCTGATCGGTCGAGCAGCAGGAAGTGAGGAATCAGGCTCAAATCCCAAAAGTCTAAAGCTCCGACCACACACCGCCTCTTTAAGAGAGACTGGACGCACAAGGGGTCAGAAACTCGCCAATCATTAATAGTTTCAATAAAAGCTGGACTGCAGTGAAGGTTACAGTAAATCCAGCAGCTGCTCGCAGTCGGACCCCTTCAGTCCAGCACTGTAGAGAGCAGCGCGTGAGCCAGAGGAGACTTTTGCATTGGAGCCGCTTTAGAGCCGGACAGGCTGATGGTTCTTACCGGACGCTCCCATATCTCTATGCATTTCACTAGGAGGGCTTTCCGTTTCGCACCTGGGACGAGTCTTTCTCAGATGGAAACCCTTTCGAATGTCGGCCAGAAGCTGATCGATGATGCAGCCATCGTCCTGCGGAGCCGCGCCTCGACGGACTGACAGAACACAGATTTCTTATGATATATAACATTCATTAGCATTTCATTAACATAATTACATAAAAACGACTTGCATTTAAATATGAATTAATACTAAAATATTTTTATTTTAATTAAAAATAGCTTTTAATATGAAATGAAATTTAATTTAATATACAAATATTTTTTTCATTTAAATTTATTAAATTAATATTAGTTAACAATAGTTTTTCAATAAAACAACTTTAATTTTATGTAATGTAACTTAATATTAAAATACTACAATATTAAATAGAGTTTTTAGTTAATTAAACATTACTGTGAACTTAACGATTTCTTAGTAAAATATTGCAAAGTTTTATATTTAACTATTAATTAAAATTAAAACATTTTAATATTACTTAAAAATAATTTTATAATATTAAAAAACAACTTTAACCGTATAAATGTAATATTAGATAAACATTAGATTAATTAAAATGACTTTAATATTAAATATTAATATATTTTATTTAATATTACAATATTTTACTTTTTAACTAAAAATGACTACTTATTAAATGACTATTACTTAAAATATTTTTTTAATTATACACTTTAATATTACACTTAATATTAAGTATAATTACTAATTTAATATTAATTAGAAAACATTAGCTTTTAATTTATCAATATTAAAATTGTAGTTTTTAATGAACTAAAAACAACTGTTAACTATTACTTATAAAAATATTGTAATATTAATTAAAACACTTTGTTTAATATTAAAAATGACTTTAATATTCACTATATTTTAATATTAATAAGAAACCATTAGTTTTTATTTAAAACAACTTTAATAATAAGTATTACTTGATATTAAAATATCGTAATATTAGTTAAAAAAGGTTTTAATATTAAAACAACTTTATACTAACTTTAACAACTTTATATTAATTAAAAAAAACATTAGTTTTTAATAAAAAATGACTTAATTTATATTAAAATACTGTAATATTAAATCAAAACATTAGTTTTTAAATAAATTAAAAATTACTATTAACTACCATTTTAATAATTAAAAAACTCTAATATTAAACTTAACGAATATGAAAATATTGTAATATTACAAATATTAGTTTATTAATCAAAACAACTAATACTAACTATATTTTATAATTTTATCATTAATTACAAAACGTTTTAAAATGATTAAAATGACTTCAATAGTAACTATAAAATATTAAAATATTTTAATATTAATGAAAAACATTTAAACATTAGTTTTTAATTTATCACTGATGCAGCTATTTTTTCTGACTGAAAACAGATTTCTATTCGTGATGTGAAATGAAAACTGATTCCTGCTTCATGAACATCTGTATTCTTCAGAGAACTGAAGAGCTGAGCACAAGCAGAGTTACAGACAGGAATAGTTTGTTACGACTCACTTATCTTCCCGTCTTCTCCCTTCTGTCTCTTGGACTCCTCGTCCACCAGCTGCTGCTTTCTTTTCTCGGCTTTGGCCGCTTGTTCTTTACGGAGCTTGTTTTCCTGCAGAAGGAACCACATTTCCTGACCTCGGAGACATGAACACCACTCAACAGTGTTATTTTATTATTAATAATATGCTGTTATAATTTCTATTCATTTTAATTTTAGAATTTTTCACATTTTCTGTTTTAAACGCGTTTAAGTTAAGTGTTTTTGTCATTTTTATTACTATTCTATTTATATTTTATTATGTCCATTTAATTTTTATTTCAGTTTTAGTTATTGTAGTACTTCAACTTAAACTTTAATATAATATAATGTAATTTCTCTTATACTTTCAGTTAACAATAACCATGCATGGATTCCTATTCATGCAATAATAACTTGATTTTCACATGTTTGCCTGCCACTATAATGCTATACAGCTGCTGAAGTGTTCAAAGTAATTTTGCATTAAAAATGACTTTAATATTAACTTTTAATTTGTATAAAAATATTTTAAAAATTAAGAAGATTAGTTTTTAACATTAAAAACAACTAATTTTAAATATTAACAATATTTTTATATTTAAAAAGTAAATATGTAACTTTTAATATTAAAAATTGTTTTTAATATTAAAACTACTTTAATAATAAATATCATTATTTTAGTATTATATAATCCTATTTTAATATCAGTTTAATTAAATGACTAACTATTAATATTAAATAATAGTTTTATTAGTAAAAAAAACTTCAATTAACTATAGTTATTTTAATAATATTATTAATTATTTAATACTATTTTTATTTTAATATGATTAATTTTTTAATACTATTTTAATATCAATTAAATTATTAATTAGCTGTTTTTAGTTAAAGTGAATAATACTAACTATTAATCAATGTTAAAGTATTAATTAAAATAATTAAATAATTTAAAATGTGTTATTAAAAACAACTTTAGTATTAATTAGAAGTAATGTTAATATTAATTACAAAAAACATTTGTTTTTAAGTAATTAAAAACAACTATTAACTATTACTTAAAATATTGTAATATTAATTTAAAAGTATTAGTTTAACTAAAAAAAAAAGCACTTTAATATTAAATAATGCCATCGTTTTTAATATTAAAATCAACTTTATTACTAAACTATTAATATTTTAATATCAATAAAATATGTTTAATTTTAAAAACAACTTTACTATAACTATTAATATTAAACGATTTTAATATCAATAAAAATTGTTTAATATTATAAAAATATATTCTGGTCTTTAATGTGTCTCACTTCTCGGTTCGGTCCTCATCTGAGCCTAAGCCTTCATGAACCCAATATTAGGGATGTAACGATTAGGAGCCGGTTGAAAATCGATTCAAATATGTGACGATTCAAATCGGTTGAGATGCTAAACAAATCACGATTCATTTAGATGCCGTGCTGCTTTGTTTACAGCGGTAACCCAGGAAACGCTGTATCATTGCTGTTCATAAGTGCAGCGCTGCTTTGGTTACAGCGGTAACCAAGGAAACGCTGTATCATTGCTGTTCATAAGTGCAGCAGCTGCTTTGGTTACAGCGGTAACCAAGGAAACGCTGAATCATTGCTGTTCATAAGTGCAGCGCGGCTTTCTTTACAGCGATAACCAAGGAAACGCTGTATCATTGCTGTTCATAAGCGCAGCTCTGCTTTGTTTACAG